CCCAGGTCGCGCAGCGCCCCCAGCACACCGCAGCGGGTCAGGTGCGCGGCGCGCGACACGTCGGCTTCGCGCAGGTAGCGCGCATTGTTCATGTGCAGTAGCAGGTCCAGATCCGAAGGCAGTACCCGGCCGGTGTACCGCTGCTCGGCCAGCAAGTCGCGGACGCGCGGCTGCAGCAGGCGTGCGCGCAAAACCGCACACGGCACGCGCACCAGGTACCAGCCGTCCAGCAGCGCGAAGAAGGCAAGCGCCAGGGCTAAGAATGCCACCAGCAGCCCCAGCATCTTGGCAGTGGGCACCTGGTACCCAGGAACCCCCTGTAAGCAGGTGCCTGCAGTGGGCCTGCCCGGGAGCTTGGGAGCTCCGGGAACCGCTTGGAGCGCACCACCTCTTCCAGCGGTTGGAGGGGGAGGCGCGCCGGGGGCATCAGCGTCGCCGACTGGAATCGCGCGCACGCTCGGTCATACCCACCCGGCGCGCGTCCTTGGTGGTGTGTTCCGCGTCCTCCGCCGGAGCTGCTTTCGTTTTTTCCCGGGGCGGGGCGCAGCTGGACTCGCTAAGCAGTACAGCGCCACCTCGCTGCCACGCTCGGAGCTGCACGTGCAGGAACTACAGGGAAGCCTGCTCTCTCCCGCGATCCAGTTGCTCAGATGAGCATAGCCAAAGATTCCCAGAACTTCCCGTAGCAGCTGAGGAACTTTGTAAGGCAAACGGACAATGCATCGCTAAAGATGCTGCTTCTACGAGGCTGCTCGTAACCCTCAAGCCTGTCCAGGCATCCCGCTTCCGCAAGGCTCCTGGGACATTCGCTCTGGATTAGAGAGAATTAGACCCCATCTCTTGAGTGCCTTTCAGTCCCAGTCTGCAACCACATTATTTGTCCCCCAGCACTCGGCCCGTGTCCACCAAAAGTCTTGATCATCCTAAGTACACCCCCAATAATTCCCTCTTTACCCCCTTTAATGCAAATAACATCCAAGATAGAGGAGAAGTAGGGGCCTGGAAAGGAGTGGCATGAATGTACTAAGCTAAAGGTGCCAGGTATCGTTTGTGGAATGTCAGTCCCTATCCTTCAGAGTAGGGAAAGATTTTGAGGTCCGCCGGCTATCCTGGATAGCCTCCAGGACTTCGATAATTCTGTGTGCAAATGACTACAGGAATCCCAAGGATAGGTGGATGGATTGGTGAAGTGCCAGATCCGCTGGGCAGCCCTTACTCCGACTGTCTCATACTGGGCTGCGTGGGTCGGCTGTGGTCTCTGTCCAGAGCGGAATTTTTTTCCGGTTTTGCTTCCGAGGCCAGAAGCTATGGCACAGTGGGTGCCTGGGGTCTTCTTGGATACTCCAAGAGGCAAGGAACTCACTTCCAATCAGGGTAGCTCCAAACGACCGGAAGATGATCTTTTCCTACATATTGCTTCCGCTTGAAACACCTACCTTGTCCTAGCCTGCACTCTGGCTGGGGCAGGGACAGACTCTAAGGAGGAAGAGACTAAGCAATGCTCTTTGAGTCTATCGCTCAGAGCACGGGCCTTCTGTACTCACTCTGTCCATTGTGTCTCATGCCTCCAGGAAAGACACCTGCCACGGTTAGCCAGGTCTTTGAGACAGGGAAAGAGGTGAATGAGCACCCATCTTCGGGGCCTCCTCTGCTCCTGTCACCTGGCTAGTTTTTGAGCCTCTGTTTGCTCTGCTTCCATTTTCTCTCCCTTACCCTAGCCTAGACCACATTGCCATGGTCCTCTCTAAGGGATCTGAGCACATTTCGCTGTAGTTTCATGTATAAGTAATGCATGTCTGTCTCACGGATGAACACTGGAGGAGGGCCTGCTCGCCCTTACAGACCTTGGTGTCTACAGAGTTCCTTTCTCTGCCAGCACTAGGCAAATAAAGGTGCTGGGTACAGAACCTTCGCTCAGGAATTTTTGGCTCTTCAAAGATTCCTGTTTGCCCTAGAGCCCGGCGTCACCTCCAGAGACAGGTTGGCAATCCATTTTGGCCACCAGGGGGAAATACCAGGCATGAGGTAGCAGGGCCCGGGGAGGGGGGGCGCAGAGGGAAAGCAGGATGACTTTGCCCTAGACCTCACCCCGCCCAACTCTGGTCCCGCCCCATCTTTCCCCGATTGGGCCCTGCTAGGTGAGCGGTGCCACACTGCTGGCAACTATGAGGGAGTTAGAGACCCATGTCAGGTCATTGGTTTGGCCTTGACACCCAGGGGTGCCCTTTACTCCTCAGGGCACCTTCTGCCATTTGCTTCCCTCACCCTAACTCTAATAATTCATTGCAAAGAAGTCTCCAGGGTAGGGTATGAAGGCCCATTGTCCCTCTGCCCCTGGGCAGTCTTGGCCTGCAGAACCTTGTGGCCACCAACCACAGGGAGAAAAAGACTAGGCTAAGGGACAGTTGATGTGTGGTCCTTGGTGTGCTGAGTCTACCCAGTGAGGATGGTCATTCTGCATGAGCCAGCTCTGGTGTCCTCTGCCTTTTGTTATCCCAGATCTGTGTTAAGGGAACACATATTTCTCTTATTTATGATGCCGTGGGTTGGTTTTAGGCTATCCAGATGTGCTGAGGAGAATCCAGCCAAGCCTAGGTAACTGCCAGATGTGGTGTGCTAGGAACAGCCTTCGGGACCAAGCAGATGCCCCAAAACTATTGAGCCGATGGAGCTGCACAGGGTCCTGCAATCAGCGCCTTGTCCTCCACTGTCTCCAGGGAAGACAGCAAGCCTCAACCAGAAGGTTGGCTCCCAAGAAAATGCTGCCAGAAGTACCATCCTGCATACCACCCCCTGTGGCAGCTGTTGGCCCCAGGTCCTGCACCATGTTCCTAGTAGATGTGAGATCCTGCTGAAAGGCCTCCGGTTCTTCAGTGTCCTCCTGAAAACACAGGGCCTCCTAGAGCCTGGACTCAGCCCTGGATGCTCATCGTTTCCCAGGGTGAGAGGATTGTCTCCTACTTGAGGTCATACACAAGGGCTGAGGGCATCAGCTTCGAAGCCCTGGCCAGGCTCACCCTCAGCACGACCCCTGTCCCACTGGCCCCTGGGCTCCCACTACCACCACTGAACCCTGGGACTCCAGTTCCGACACCCAGCTCAGTACACACCTGGACCCTTCACTGATCTTCTATGTCCCCCGTGCGGGTACCCAGAGCCCACAGTCTGTGCTGTTACTCACCGTTCAGGAATTTAAAGCTTTATTAAATGTCCGTGATCCCTGAGAGAGGGATGTAAGCCCCAGTGACTGGTCACACCTGGAAAAAGCCCCGCTGGGCACTAGGTGGAGGGAGGTGCTGAGTGACATTTCCTTGACTTCCTCATGCTATCTCAACACTGGCACGGGGGTGGGGGCATCAGCTGTAGAAACAGGTTCCCCATGCAGATCCCCACCTAGGGTCCAGGCAATTCCCAGGAATAAGACAGGCTTCCTTCAAAAAGGTTTTCCCAGGAATGGGAGGGATGGGCATATCCTCCTGTAGACAGAGTCTCCCAAGCTTTTAATGGTGTGGACACAGACGGCAGAAGGAACTCGGGAGTGTGGGCTGAACACACACTCCTGCGTGGTGTGGGCTGGGGGCAACTGGCTGCCTGCTCCGAGACTCTTGTGCTTGTATTTCGTATGTGCCAGAAGCACGCAACTCTAAGAACAAAGGTTTTTGTTGTTTGTTTGTTTGAGACAGGGTCTTGCTATGTAGCCCTGGCTGGCCTGGAACTGCTATGTAGACTGAGCTGGCCTCAGAAGCACGGAGATTTGCCTGCCTCTACATCTCGAGCTCTGGGATTAAAATGGGGGCCACCATGCCCAACCAGAACATAGTTTTTTACAGTAAATTCACTGAGGCTAGAGGGAGCTCTCCTTCCTAGGGGTTCCTCTTATCCATGAAAACTTGGGGCTTCCTTCCACTGGGAGGGTAGTAGAGGAACACACGGGGCTCTGAGAAGCTTGGCTACGTGCTGCACTCCGTACAACAAGGGCGGGTGTCCTGAGATATGCAGTCCTACCTCCTGCCAGGTGCCATCACATATGTGTTCCTACCAAGACCAGGCTTCTAACCCCTAAGGTCAATGGTATGTTCATGACCCCTGATAGACATTACCCAGATGGAGGCCAGGCTCATCATGGGCTGCTTAAGGACAGAAGCTCTCTCAGACTTAAACCCGACAGGTATTTATTACAGGCCTACTGTGTTCTGGGGCTCTATAAACATGGGGCAGGTTCCCCCCACCAGACTCGTCTCCTAGGACTCCCAGTCCCTCACACCCACCTCCCAGCTTCTTTTCTGACCAGTCTAGCTCATTTCAGGCTTCACCAGGCCCTTCCCAAATGCTGCTGTAAAGATCGACTCAGCTCCCGGAGAGTGGGGGTGGTGAGGGAGTCCTGCAGCAGAAGTACCCGAGCAGAACTGGTGGGGTGTGGTGCTGGTGGGGGCGGGGAGGGGTGGGCAAGGTGCCAGCTGTAGAAACAGAAGCTGCAGAGACAAGGGAGCTCCAGGAGGGGCAGGGCAAAGGCCAGCCTTGTGTGGATGTTAGGAGTGGTGGCGGGGTATCCCTGTCTAGTAGAGGCTGTAGTGCCCCCCTCCAGAGCCTATAGATGTCTGGAGCCCCACAGCCATAGGCTGCAGAGCACAGTGAGCAGCCCCAGGGTGGTGGTGGCTGGCTTCAGGGCGTGGGCTCCACTGACGTTGCACAGGTCGGAGTAGCAGCACGTGATGTTCTTCTTGCCCACGTAGTAGTTCTCCGCGTCGTCCACACAGTTTGAGCTGCAGCCCTTACTGATGACTGTCACAAGTCCAATGGCCCCTGGGAAGACAGAGTGCCTTGATATTCACCTCCCTGCCCCTGTCTCAGGGCCCTTTCCTGAGCATGCTAAAGCTTTAGACCCACTCCACCAAGCACCAGAAATGTTTACTGAACGCGCGAGCGTGGGGAGGAGGAGGGGGAGGGAAGGGGTGTGCAGATATATGGACAGGTGGGCAGATGGGCAGAGGAAGAACTGTGGCAAAGCCCAAGGTCTAGATTCTTTGTTGCTTAGCTGGAGAGGGGAAGGAGGCTGAAAACGTGGGAAAGCAGAATGGCTGGGCAGCAGTGAGAACTGTGTTGGGTAGCAGGGGACTCACGGACGCGTGACGTCCAGCAACTGTTCTCGCCCTGGCTGCAGTTCTGCACGTTCAGACAGTCTGTATTGCTCACCTGCGCGGTGCATGAATAGCACTGCAGGGCAGCACCTGTGGGTGAAGCAGGAGGCTTGAGGCTCAGAGGCCGGCCGGAGAGCTTTACCAGATACTCCCGTCCCCACACGGAATGGAGAGACAGTCCAGACGGCTGACACAAAGAGGCAAAAGCCCAAAGACGACCAACACCCTTCACAGAGGGCTCCGACAGCCTACCTCCCCTTGGTCACCCAAAGCTCACAGTCTATGCTGTGGCTCACCTTTCGGGAATTTAAAGCTTTACCAAATGCCTGTGATTCCTGAGAGAGGGGGAAAAGGCGTCAGTGACTGGTCACACCTGGAAAAAGCCCCACGGGGCACTAGGCTGGGGGCAGGTGCAGAGAGACACTTCCTTAATGCCCGCCTTCGTGCTACTAGGCACCAAGGTCCACCTGTCTTTGTTCCCTAAGCCCAGCTTGCCTCTCAGCTCCTCGACCTCCGCAATGCTGTGCAGCGATGGTAGGGCCCCTGAACCTATCCTGGTCTGTGTCTGGGACTAATGACACCAATGTCAGGGTGTGTTGGTTGTCTTTTCTCTTCGAAAAATGGCAAAGCTGGGGTTTGAGTCACACTTGTAGGAAGACGTGCTGAACACCTGACTTGAGTAGCTACAAGCTCCATCTTAGGTGCTTAGGTCTCCAGTGGCCTTAAGAATAGGGTTTTTTTTCCTGCCTGGAAGAGGAAGCTGAGGCTTTGAGAGTATAGTGACCTTCTTGGGGTCACTTGGTGGGAGGGCCCAGCATGCTAGACCATAACAGACTGCCCATCCCAGTGGGCTCTCAAACTGGAGGCAAAAGTAGCCAAGGATGGACTCTTGAGTCCCCTCTCAAGACATTCCAAGTACCTTTCCCTGCTCCATTCTTCCCTCCCTTGCCTCTGTGACACTTCCCAGCTTGAGACTTTTGGCCCCTGGACCCCCTGACTAAGGACTCCTAGCCCTGTACATCTGTCCTTCAGTGGCCTTTCTGGGAGCCCTTCTGTTCCTCATAGCTGCTTCTCACGGGACAAGAGTGAGAGACCACACGCAAAGCTGCTCTGGCCACCCTACTCTTCTCCCTCTTCCCGTCTCGTCCTCCATCGGCCCCTCCGATGGTTCTTCTTCACTCCTTCCCTAGCCCTGCCCCGTGGCTGTCCGTAGCTTACCTGGCTGCAGGGCCAAGTAGGTGGCCAACAGGACCAAAAGGAGAGCCATGTTCATGGTTGCGGTGGGCAGCTGGGAGTTTGCCTCCAAAGGCTTTATATGACTGCAGTTGGTAAGGGAGGCTCTGCAGCTCAAGTCAACAGTGACAGGCTCTCTGGAGCCAGTGAAAGCCCAGGGACCTGCCCATTCCAATCTGATCTCACACACCACCCCTCCCACTGCCTTTGTCGTTCTTTCTGGTGCTGGAGGGCATAGCCTATCCAGGGTGGGGCCACTGTTTCTGCTAGAAGCCCTTTCTCAGCCACCCACAGGACAAGGGCTGGAAGTCCTAAGACACCCACACCGTGTCTGCCCTTCTCGGGGAATGAGGCCAGTTCTGGAACATTCCTTTCTTGAGGTTCTCTACTCCCCCGAGTCATTTGGCCAAGGACAAAGGTGCATCCGTGGGACCCCAAGGCTCAGCACCAAAGCTGTGTTGCCTTCTTGGGGCCCATAGAAAACAGGCCTGGATTGAAGGGCAACAGACATAATAGCAGTTCACTGCTACAAATGACAACGACTGGCTGCTAGATGGTGTTACTGAATAGGGGCTCTTCTGGGGTTGCCTTTCTTGGATAGGTGACCTAAGAGCCAGTGAGGAGTTTGGACAGCTATAAGAGCATGTCCTCGAGTGCTGGAGTGTGCCAGGCCCTGGAAAAAGACATCTATCTTCAGGACCTCATTTATTCCCCAACTTGGAACTTTAGCTACAAAAGAGTCAAGAAACACAGCTTCCAGGCCACTGCTTGATATATTCTGTTGTTCCCAGACCCACCTTGCACACAATTGGTCTGTGGTCTGGGAGGCATCCAGCTTACAAAGCAGGGAGGGACAGAGGTCAGGCCGTCTCTCCCTGTGCAGCTCCCTGCTGGGTTGTAGTGGCCGTCTCGCTTTTGTAGAGGCCACAGATCTTGTGGGTCAGTCTTCCCCAGCCAGCTCTCTGATCAGTTTCCTTTCGATCCAGGGATCCAGGTCCATTGCTTCCTACTGCTGTTGTCTTTGGGGTGATCCATAGTCTCTGTTGCTTGTCTCGACCTGAGACTCACCTACATTTGCCATCCTTCTGCCAGGCTGTCCTGGTAACCTTGCTGGGCACACTGCTGTTCTGGTCAGATGCCAGTGGGTAGAAATGCTACCCACCATGGCCACCATTTATTTGCCCACAGCCAAGGACAGTGGTCTCTGGTGTTCTCTTGCTCCTGCTGATAGATCTCCGACTACTCCTTCACCCTAAACATTCCTTGAGAACAGACTGGCATTTTAAGTGCGGGAGAGCGTTAAGTATTCCCCCTCTAGCCTCAAGGAACCACACCCTGCAATGCCAGGACCAGGCAGCAACCACAGTTTGGCCCTTGGGCTCTACTTGCAACGTCAGGCCCTCTGTGATCTCCCCTGCTCGACTCTCTACCACTCCTGGGCTGGCCTCTTTTCTCTGGAAATTCTCTACTTTGGTACTAAAGAGCCTGTGTCTCAGAAAAAGTCAAGATCCTGCTCAAGGTCACACAGGGTGAGGGTACCCTCCCCCAGATGCTTTCCTGCTCTCTGCCCACCTAGAATTTCCTCTTGGAACATCTCCTCCTGCCACAGACCTCCCAGTCCAGGGAGTGCTATAAGTGCCCACAGCTTGATTGTGTCCACGTATGGCTGTCTCCCTGCTCCCACCCATCGGGATGGCTGCCCCTGGAGAGACCTTGCTTATCTGTCTTGGCGCTGGAGGCACCGGCACCCAGCACCAACTGGAACAGTCATTTCCCAAATATTTACAGGTGTGTAAATGTTTGTCGATCATGCTTGATATGGCGTGAATACTCTAAAGGCAAGCCTCCCCGCCCGCATATCAGTGCCTGGAGGCAGTACTGGTTGGCTAAGTCCAGGGGCACTGGACGGATATAGTGGACACAGGCCAAGATCTGCTCAACACCCAGAACCTTGCAGAACCACTGGGCCCCAGTGGTGTCCAGAGAGGGAGCTCTGGTAAAGGGTGGCCTAGTGGTCTCACCTCATCTCCAATACTGACGACTGTGACTATGATTTTCCTACAGCCCCACCTCTCACCACAGGCTTAACTCTGATTGCAGCCCAACACCGAACACTCATTCTGGTGACCTTAGTCAAACAGGACAATATGGCCACACCCTGAGTCCTGGCTATATCCATATATGAGCCTGATCATGACCACCTCTGAGCTCTGACCCTGGTTACACTCCGATCCTCGATACACACTGAGCCCTGATCCTGGTCACTCTTCCTAATCTTGGGCACAGTGAGCTCTGCTCCTGCTCACACCACGATCCTGACTCTGGCTGCAAGCTGATCCTTGACTCTACCCCACACACTGAGTCTGGATCCTGGTCACCCTGTGTGCCGTTACTCTAACCACAGACTGAGTAGTTGACTCTACTCACACACTGAGCCCTGACGCTGCTCATACACTGAGCCTGATTATGGTTACATGACGAGGCCTGATCTCAGCTACACAATTGGCTCTGAATTTAGCCACTGGCTAACCCCTGATCCTTGCCCTTCATGCTTAGAGCATGCCCTGAAGGCAACCTTGTAGCCTGAATTGGCATGGATTCTCTGGTGGCACACTTCCTAAAAAGACATATCACAAAGGGCATACCCCCTCCAAGTCACTCCAGGAGTGAATGTGGTCTGGGTGTGACCTTGACATGACTCACCCTTAGCCTAACTCCACTGCCCGAGTCTCTAGTTTTTCTCGTTCTCTCTTTGCCTCCTTTTCCCACCACAGCCCACCATACTTCCTGGAGAGCCTGCCTGTTCACATAGCAAAGAAGCTACTGTTCTTTGGGTGTGGCTTCTCAAAGCTACACCTTCCCATCAGACCCCTACCTCTTCTTAGGGGGCTATCCCAGGGTTTCCTGCTGGCATACAAATCACAGTTGGGTGGAATTGTAATTTTGCACATAGATGACTTTTAGTCAGCACGTGGAATGTAAAACCGTAGCTGACTTCTGTGTATGCCACCGCAGACCTTTGGAAACAGCCCCTCAGGTCAAGGGTATGACATGGGTAGCCAGGACTCCAGGAAGCTGCATGTCCTCTCCCACTAAGGTCACCATGTTGAGTCCTGGATGTCAACGTCATTTCTTGCAAGCTCTGTCTGATTTGTTGAGGTGGTATGGGAACCTGTGTCATGTGAAAGAGTGTGGATGGAGGTCAGATGTACAGTATTGTGTGTTGTGAGAGTGAGCACACGTGTAAAAATGAGCAACCCCTAGACAGTGGGCTGGAGGCCTGAAACTCTGCAGGCCCTGGTGCATCTTGAGACATGTTCTAGCTTTAATCTCTGTGGTCCCTGCTTACCCAGAGGTGATTTTTCCTCAGTACTATTCATGGCTCTGTCTGCGACATCCCCCAAACAGGCTCCCAACTGTCACCAGCTAGCCTTCCGCTTTAAGTCTCTTAGAAATGTCCCCGTCTTTCCCTGTTTTTCTTCACATGCCCACTCCTCCTTGGAGACAAGTCAGTGAGACAGGGAGGCCTGAGAAACCTTGTAAGGGGGAAGGGGAGGCTGGTGATTTCTCCACCTGAGTAACGGGCACCACTGCAGTCCAGGCCTCCTCCAGGCAAAGGCTTGCAGGTGGCAGGAACAGTCTTTCAGGGATGATCGAGGGACTTGGGAGATGCCCAAGGTAAGCTAGATCATGATAAGCAATCTGCCAAGACTGATCCTTTCCAAGGCCATTTTGGATAAGTTGGGAGGGCAAGACTGGCTGGTGAGGAGGCTGCCGTGGTACAGATGTCATCTCAAGGGCTTAACTGTGTGGATTGGTGGGAAGGAGTAGAGGGGGCATCTTAATTCCATGCCCAAGGGGATACCAGTCTTCTTCTCTTTCTGACCCCTTCCCCACATCTAGAGTGAACTCAGTCCGTGAGATAAAACCAAGAGTCCTGGAGTCATGTGCCAAGCCCCACTTCCACACCAAGCCCTACCACTAGAAAAGCGTGTGGTCCCAGGTCCACAAGGTGGCAGCAGAGAGCCAAATGCAGGGGCAGAGACAGTCAATCCAGGTGAGTCCAGAAAAGTGTCAGAAAAACTTCTTGGGGTCCTTCCTGGGTTCCAGTCATACTACATGCCCGGTATCTTCTGAGACTCAATTTCCGCCGGTGTTCCACACACATTTAACTCTATCATGCAATTCATGACCCAGGGTCATGTGCTGCAAGACAGTGGCTGTTCCAAGCCTGTGTTTCAGGGCCGCTCCCAGTGCAGCAGCAACAGCTGACAGTGAGGGAAGGGGGCAGAACATCAGGACTAAGGAGGAGGCCATAGATGGCCAGGGCATGGACTGAGGGAGGGAGAGGGGAAATCCAAAGGATGGATTCTGGGGGCAGGGCTAATCGGAACTGGTCCACTGGATGTGAGGGAGAGTTTGGGGTGACCCCTAGAGAACGGGGTGTGGGAAGGAACTGCCAGGAAACAATGGGGGGAGGGGCAGGACACAGGAAGACAGGCTCTTCAGGAGGCTCCTGATCTCCACTTCAGAAGCACTGCATTCGAGGCGTATGTGGGCAGCCATGTCCAGGTGCTGGGCAAAAGGCAGAAATCTGGACGTCATGGAAGAGATTCTGGAAGAAGACATGGATTTGGGAGCCGCCCATCCTTCCATGGTATTAGAACTCTAGCACTGGAGATCCCCAGAGGGTGTGAACGGAGAGAGCAAAGGACCCAACAAGAGAGGGTGGGGAAGGGCAGGCAGAGGGTCCTGGGTACTTAGGCAAGGGTGTGAATTAAGGAAGAACAAGTTTCCATAATCTGTCTTTCTATGGCACAAATACCCCAGTTGCGGAGGCCTGAAATAACACAATTCCGTTTTCATATGCTTCTGCAGGTCAGGGTACTGAGATCAGGGTGCCACCAGAGTTGTATTCCAAGAGGGCATGTTTCCTGGCCTTTTGGAACTCCTGTAAGCCACTTGCACTTCTTGGTTGGTAGCCTTCCTCCATCTTCAAAACCTAGGGCCCAGCCTCTGTTGCCACTCCACTGCCTTCATTGCAGGGTCTTCTCCCATTTGATCCTTTAACAGCAAACATTGTGCTTATATGAGGCTCACCAGACAATCAGAACAAACTGCCCACTTCAACGACTTTCACTTAGTCACAACTGCTCAGTTGTGGGCGTGTGTTCACAGATTGGGGGGATTGGGAATTGGGCTCCTCATGGGCCACCACACAGCTCATCACAACACACTTCCAGTCTCCAATATGATTCATATGCCAAATGGTTCATCTCATCCCAAGGTCTCCCAAAGCCTGCATGCTGCACTACATTCCAAATCTCATCAGCAAGATCATCTAAATGGGCACATTTTGAACTCTTGTTAAAAAGGAATGGAAAGGAAAATGTGGTACATTTACACAATGGCTACTACACAGCAGAAAAAAAATAATGACAGCTTGAATTTTGCAGGAATGGATGATGCTAGAAAACATTATTTTGAGTGAGGTAACCCAGACACAGAAAGACAATTATCACATGTACTCACTCGTAGGTGGTTTTTAAACATAAAGCAAAGAAAGCCAGCCTACAAACCACAATCCCAGAGAACTTAGACAACAATGCGGACACTAAGAGAGACTTACATAGATCTAATCTATATGGGAAGTAGAAAGTAGAAAAAGACAAGATCTTCTGAGTAAATTGGGAGCATGGGGACCTTGGGGGAGTGTTGAAGAGGAAAGGGGGAGTCAGGGAGGGGAGGAGAGAAAAATGTAGAGCTCAATAAATATCAATAAAAAATGTATTTAAAACAAAACGAAACAAAATCCACAAAAAATAAACTAAAAGGAATGGAAAGGGATACTGGCTACAGGAGGACCTTGGGAACCTCCCACCACAAGGTGGCGCTGGACTTAGCCTCCAGTCTGTGCTCGCCCGGTCAGGGCTCCCAGGACCGGACGCTCAGCCCGGGCTTCCGCTCCTCATGAACGTAAGACTCCCTCTGCCTTTCGTCGTTCTACGGGCGGGGGAGCTGCCGGGCCGGGGCTGCTCCCTTGTTCATCCTCGGTGTAGCGAGCTAGACACCACTGAGATAGAAGCCTCCCGGTGGTCTAGAGCGTCCCCGGAAGTGGCTCGGGGAAGGCCGCGAGGAGCGGACCGGTGGAGAGCTGCGTGGCCGGCATTTCCGGCCGGTAGTGGCGGCTCGGGGTCCGCAGGTGAGTGGGGCTGGGACGGGGCCGTCGCCGCCACCACGGACTGACTGGAGGCCGGACCCACGCTCCCGCCCCGGAGCCGAACGCGCGTCGTTGTTTCTCCGCCCGGAGGAGTCGCGCTCGGGACTGACGGATCTCTTCTCAGGGGTCCTCTCCCGGGATCGGTTCCCCTCGGCTCCCAGGCTCTCCACCGGCACCCAGACCGGGCAAGCTCGGTCGTTCCTCCCCTCCTCTCTTGCCTGTGCTTTGAGTTTTTCTCTCAGTGTCGTCTGGACTGCAGCCCGATGTGAGGTTGTTTCTTAACACCGGTTCTGATGCCTCAGGACCGACTCGAAAAAAAATGCCTCTCCTCTTAGGAGCTTACACTCCCGCCCCAGAAAAGTGGTCCTTTAATCCCCTGTTCAAGTGGCCCTGTGTTGTCAATGCTCCCTTTGAAGTCCCAAGGTTAGGAGCCTCCCGGATTTCTGCAGCCACGTTTCGGAAGTTCTAAGAGTAATACAAGATCCAAATTTTCTCTGTGTCCCTCTTTTCCCTTCCTTCCTTCTAGAACTTACTAGGTAGCCCAGCCTAGCCCTGTCTGTACTCCCAGCAGTTCTCCCTCTGCCTCTCAAGTGCTCAAATGACAGGTTTGAACCACCACACTCAGCTTGGCAAAAGTGGGTGGATTCAGCCACTTAACCACTCTGCACCTCAGCAGGGCAGGCACCATCAGGAGCTGAGGCTCCTCCTGAAAGCTTGTCTGCCCCTCAAGTTGCTGCCGAATTCCTCAGCTCCCTGCGTTTGTTCCTGAATCATCCGCACCCCCACCCCCAGAGTAGACAGTGGCCTTGATTTCCTTCTGTTCCACAGGGAGCTGCACACAGCAGTTGTCATTTGTGCCCGTGGTTTGTGCACCACCCTCACTATGACTAGAATGGGAGACCCTTGAGGACCAGCACCAAGATCTTCAGACCAAGAGACTGACTTGTGGGAGGAGACAGGGTTACACAGCTGGCTGGTGACAAACTGACATTCCTCGCATGGTTTTTGGAACTCTTGCACGTTATAATAAATATCTCGTGTCTCTTACATTGTGGTCTTGGGTGCACTTTTGTGTTGCTCATGGAAGTAACCCTGTAGCCTTCTGGTTCTTCAAATGCTTGATTGGGAAGAGCCGCCCAGATAAGGTTGGGAGTATTGGAGAAGGCAGAAGCCATTAGAGATGCATTGTGACTCTTACCTTTTCTGGACATTTATGAAGGTTGCTGGTGCTGTTTGCTCTGGGGTCTGCAAGGAAGGGCTAGTTAACAGACTGGCCAGCTAACCTCAGGCCCGATGGATGGCACTGATGTTTGAAGTGACTCTTTCAAGTGACTAATCCCATCTTAAGTGTTCTCAGTAACATTTTTTCTTTCTTCTCTGCTTTTCAGTTCCTGAAGTGTATGATAAGACAACGTTGTCAATCCTGGTGAGAAGTATTCCCAGCTCAGAAACCTGGACACTTTCAAAGGGAAAAGCTGCCACCTCTTGCCATCTGTGAAGGCTCCAGCTGTCCAGGGTAACTCAACCCTGTCACCTCTCCTGAAGAGAACAGTAGCGTACTATACACTGCTAGAACATGAGGCCTAAGTGTGCTGGAAGGGAAATTGAGGCACAGCACTGCTGTAGTCAGCGAGCAGAGCCGAGGATGAACCTGGCTTGACCCTAGGATCAGTCCTGCGCAAAGGCAGACAAGAGCAGGAAGAGACTGTGGCCCAGGGAGCCAGACAGAAATCTAGGTAGGGAAGGACAGGCCCAGCCCAGCCTGGACTACCTCCTCATGGCCTCCAACCAGGCTGCAACCAAGGGCAAGGGGGAGAAGCGGAAGCGAGTGGTGCTGACCCTGAAGGAGAAGATTGACATCTGCACTCGGCTGGAGCGCGGTGAGAGCAGGAAGGCCCTGATGCAGGAGTATAACGTGGGCATGTCCACTCTGTATGACATCAAAGCCCACAAGGCCCAGCTGCTCAGATTCTTTGCCAGCTCGGACTCCCGCCAGGCGCTGGAGCAGCGGCGTACGCTGCACACACCCAAGCTGGAGCACCTGGACCGAGTGCTTTACGAGTGGTTCCTCGTAAAACGGGCTGAGGGCATCCCTGTGTCAGGCCCCATGCTCATCGAGAAGGCCAAGGACTTCTATAAGCAGATGCGGCTGACAGAGCCCTGTGTGTTCTCCGGAGGGTGGCTTTGGCGCTTCAAGGCCAGGCACGGCATTAAAAAGTTAGATGCCTCTAGTGAGAAGCAGGTGGCCGACCACCAAGCTGCTGAGCAGTTCTGTGGCTTTTTCAGGAGCCTTGCAGCTGAGCACGGGCTGTCCCCTGAGCAGGTGTACAGCGCTGACGAGACCGGTCTTGTCTGGCGGTGCTTGCCAAATTCCACCCCGGATGATGGCACTGTGCCCCGCTTCAAACAGGGCAAGGACAGACTGACTGTCTTAATGTGTGCTAATGCCACAGGCTCCCACAGAATCAAGCCCTTAGCCATTGGGAAGGGTGGTGGCCCCAGAGCCTTTAGAGGCATCCAGCACCTGCCTATTGCTTACAAGGCCCAGGGTAATGCCTGGGTAGACAAGGAGATTTTCTCAGACTGGTTCCATCATATTTTTGTCCCTTCAGTGAGAGAGCACTTCAGAACCATAGGCTTGCCTGAAGACAGCAAGGCAATTCTCTTGCTGGACCATTCGCGGGCCCACCCACAGGAGTCCGAGCTTGTGTCAGAGAATGTCTTCACTATCTTCCTGCCTGCCAGTGTGGCCTCCTTACTGCAGCCCACAGAGCAGGGCATTCGCCGAGCCTTCATGAGGCTCTTTATTAACCCTCCTGTGGCCTTACAGGGCTTCCCCACCCACCACAGCATGAGCGATGCCATAGTCAATGTGGCCTGTGCCTGGAATGCTGTGCCTAGCCAGGTCTTCCGGCGGGCCTGGAGGAAGCTGTGGCCCACTGTCACGTTCACTGACGGTTCCTCCTCTGAGGAGGAAGCCGAGTGCTGCAGCATCAAGCCTCACAATAAGGCGTTCGCACACATCCTTGAGCTCGTCAAAGAAGGGCCCTCTTGTTCTGGCAGCAGGCTTCAAAACACCAGGGCTGAAGAGCAGGGGGTGGCGGGGAGGGACATGGATGAGGCCCCTATTGTTGTGGCACCGTCCCAGGCCACTGGGCATGCAGAGAAGGCAGAGAAGGACGCTGGTGAGGATGATGAGGCAGCCTGGGAGCAGGCAGCCACCTCATTCGAGGCGCTTGTGCGCTTTGCGGAGCAGCAGCCGTGTTTCACCGTGCAGGAGCTGGGGCAGCTGCAGGCATTGCACACGGTGTTCAGGAGACGGCAGCAGCTGAGGCAGCCGCGTGTGGCGCTCAGGGCCGTGATCAAGCTTGAGGCCCTTCAGGAGCACCCTGGTGTGTGTGTGGCCACAGCCCGCTCTTCCTTGCCCTGCTCATCCACAGCAGGTGACAACTGAAGAACCTTGGCTGCCCCTGTTGGCCCCTGGCAGCTCTGCTCTATAACTCGCAGCCGTGGGGCTCAGACAGCCTGCTAGTCAGAGAGCGTACTCAGACGAGAGCATGGCTCCTTGTTTACACAGAGGGTTCCGTATGTTCTGGCTAATGGTTTTACTGTTTCTCTTAGCACAAATGGCTATCATTTGAATGGCAGGAGATGTGTGCCCTCTCCTTGGCACTCTGGAGCCTCTAGCTGCAGCTGGGTCCAGCAGGCCAGATCTGCCTCTGGTGTTGGAAGACTGAGCCACGTTATCAGGTTGAAGTGCCTTGAGGGGTGTCCCTCCAGCCCTCAGGAGGCTCACTCTTCCCAACTGAGGGCACTGGCTTCAGCTCCTAACCTCAGTGCTCACATCCCCCACTAGTAGCATTGGCACCATGCCAGCTTCTTAGTCTGAACCCACCTCAGCCATGGACAGACAAACTCAGTGGTGAGACTCTAGTGTCCCTGTCAACAGCAGACCCTTTAGGGTCCAGGTTTCATGGAGACACTGTATACCAGTTTTAGCATTGCTCAGAGGCCAACGTATGTTCAGAAGTCCATGCTCCTCAAAACTTTGAAGTAACAGCCTTTATGTGAACAGTTTGTATGAAGTCACAGAGCAGCACTTGGTGACCTGGAGCTCAGCAGGGATAGGCAGGTTAGCAGTACTGCTGTGGAAGATGCTTCTGCACTGGTTGGTTCAGCCGGCTGTCAGAGAACATGACTTTCCTGACTTCGGAGCTGCTGAGCAGCACCGTAGCTGCCGTGTCTGACTCCCAGCGTCCTTTGCAGCGGTTAGCTCTCGGTTCCTTCACCATAACTTTGCCTTGGGGATTCATGTAGCTGAGTTGCCACAGTTTTCAGTCCAGTGTTCGACAGCTGCTTCACCAAGAGACCTTTGCTTGTGGATCCTATGAGAGCCAGGGGCTTGGGGAATGTTGGTTTGTGTTTCTATGTCTGTTCAAACACTGAGGATGACTGTTGCAGACAGCTCTAGTTGTGGCTGGACGTCTTCTTTACCTGCATGTGTGAACATTATTATAACCATGTTTTTAGACATCTTTGTTGTGATTCTTCGGTCCCTGCTGACAGGGACCGCTGTTCTGTCACATCACTTTTTCTGTGTGTCTGGGTGACATCTGTGTACCCATTGCTCTGTGGTTTCTGTTGTGTTACTGTTGAGGCTGTTAGAGCCACTGTGGGTCAGGGTTGGAAGTCACGCTTGCCTGCAGCATCAGGTGATGGACGTGGAGGGGAAAGTCCCACCCTGGGTGGATGGGGCGGGGCTGGGCGAACTCCTGGGTCCATAAGGTTTGTGCCCATCAGACCACATTCCAGGACCAGTGCTGGCTGACCTTGAGGACCTACTACTGGGGTTGCCACCTACTAGATTTGTGATATCTGTTCCCAGGGCACCTTCCAGAACAACTGAGGTGGGCAAGCCACTTTGTCTTTAGAGAACCAAGATGAAGGCCAAGTGTTCTGCCTTTCTCTTCTACAACTCAAGCTTCCTTGAGGCTTGTGCTAGAGGTGTCTAGGTGCAGACTTGGGAAGGGGTGTCAGTATCCTCAGAGCATGCATTTCTGTATACTCTGAGCATGCCTAAGGCACTTCCCCTTGGGGATAGCCTCTTAGGAGCCCAAGCAGTCCAGTGTGTTAGCCTCAGAACCTTTTCCCCCAAGCACTCTGAGACAGTAGACCCATTGTGTCAGAAGTCACTGAAGCCCTCAAAAAGCCCTGAGCTCTCCAGGGCAGAATGTGCTCTGGTCCTCTATATACTGTCTACTTCCCCCTTTGCCTCTCAGATACCCAAGCAGCCCTGCTTGTCTCCTGTGAGCTGGCAACATAGGCACGTGCGCCTGTGCTTGGCTCCTTCCTGCTTCCTAGCAGAAGCCAGTTGTTCCGTTGACAGATCTTGGGCACTGCAGTGTCACAGTTCCCTGACTGCTCCTCCCTCCACATCACCTCTCGGAGCTTAGTTTGTCAGCGCTGGCCCTCTGCTTCCAGGGCACTGGGATGATGGTAAACCTTGTGTTCTCAGCAGGGCCAGAGTAGGACTGCACCTTCATTTCCTCTAGATAGGCACAAGGAGCTGATGCTCATAGTGGTTCCTTGTCCATCAAGAGGCAGATGTTACTTCCAGGGTGTGCAGTTTCTTCATCAAGGGTACGGGTACCTTGAGGCCTACCTGGCCCTTTGCAGGTGTCCAGGGAAGATCATTCTGTTAGCATCTGGTTGGAGAATGTTGTCCCTGCTCATGAGGGCCCATATAATTACTACATCCCCCCCCCCGCCCCATCGGTACCTGCTCCTCGGTGAAAGAGCAGAAGCATCCTGTCACAACCCTGCATGTTGTCTCCACAGAAGTGCATCCACAGCAAGACGGGAGTCACAGCCTTTGTCCTGTGGGTGGAGGACAATGGGTGGGCAAGTTGGTGGGTGAGTGGGTAGAAGAGGAGGCGACTGCCCAGTTACCTAGGGGGAAGCCAGAGTCTATTGGGAAGCTGCTCAGGCCCTTCAAGACCAGCTGCACCGGACCTACGTACCACGGTCATCTCAGAAAGAAGCTGGGTGAGGTCTGGGAGAGGATGCTGGATGGGGTTGTGGTAACTGCTATCTCCTCCTTCATTAAGATTGGATCTGAGGTTAGCTGGAAGAGGACCCTGAGGGGAGGTCCAAATCTGTGGGAGTTGAAGCTGGGATCAGCCTCTTGTGAGCCTGGCCTTCAGCAGGACGACACCCTGAACTTAGTGAGGTGGTAGCTGCAATGTGTGTGGGGGAGGGGCTGTGGCTGTGGAGTGGACTGCCCTTGTACTGGCTCCAGCTCCTTTACATGATGGCCCTTTGCCTGCTTGTCCCTGCCTACCACCAGCCCCGTCACCAGAGCACTCCTTGTATTCCCAGTGAGTGTCATGCCATCCTTGATCATGGGACAATAGGTTTTTAAGTAGGGAGTCCAGGGCTCCCTGCTAAGTGACAGGATCAGCTGCAGCCTGGCTGGATTTAAGGAATTATCTTGGGATTGTTTTGTTTGTGGTTCCAAAGATGCAGCCCTCAGCTCTACTCACCCTTTGTGTTTAATAGCAAAAAGGCTTAAGCTTGGGGGAAGGAGATAAGCCAGGGTGTGATGCCCTTTTGGGGGAGCATCCTCAGGCTGGAAAGCTATGGGGGCTCTTGTATGATGGGAAGGCTATGCCAGGGTCCTGAGGGCCCTTATAGATGCTGAACCCTCTGGGTGGGGTTGCTAGAGATCCCTCTGTAGGACACCTAGGCCAGCGTTATCCTCCCTTTAAGTGCCCAGCCCCCTATCCAACACCCTGGCTGCCTCATGCCCTTTGTATCCCTGAGATCACAGCTTCAGCCTTCTCCATCAGGCCTCGGCATCCCTAACCCAGCACCAGCCTGTGCAGGAACTTGCCCAGATGAAGGGAGGTGCCCCTGAGAGATGGAGAGCTTTGTCCACCGCTCACAAAGGACAAGAGGTAGAAAAGACAGAAGTTAGGTTCTGTGGCTAAATACATGAATAAAATGTCTTCTGTGGAACTCACCAGAAGCACCATCCAATAAAACTGTGTCCCCACCTGTCATCTCTAGTGGTAGTAAATTCACTGTGAGCTCCTCAGCCGTTACAGCTTTCATGTCTGTGTTCCGTGTGATCTCTGAGTCAGGGCTGGCAGCTGCTCAGAGTGCTGAATTGGCTTTCTGTCCTACTGGGGACAGGCATGTGCCCCGAAGTCTGGGCATTCTAGAAAGCAGGCCACAGTGAAGCTTGGAGCTTCTGGACTGTATCCTCCTGCAGAAGGATTCTGGGAAGGTTGAAGGAACATCAGACCAGCCCCCATGAGTACCCCAAATGGGCAGAGAAGAGGTGTGGAGTGGAAGAACAGACGCTAGGGGGCCCCCTCTGCACATCATCTCTGCAGAGACATGAAGCCAGAAAGTTAATGCCCTCTGGTGGTAGGGTAGAGACTTGCCCTCGTTCACTTCTGTAAGCATCCCATCCACAAGGTCATGTGCACATTTGTGCTAAGAGATTATTAGGATGGACCCATGGATAGCCTGACTCATTGTCCCAACAGGGACACCCCACCTCCTCCCCAATCCTGTAAGGCTAGGCAGGTTTATGCTTGCTGAAGACTGCACAAACTCCCTAAGCGGCCATCTCTGTTTTAGTAATTATACAAACAAACCCGAGCATGCAGAAGGCTACCTGGAACCTTGGGCATTCTGCAGCCAGCCGCCTACCTGTCCCTCTACCTGGGAACTCCCGCGCTGGTGGGCCTTTAGAAAGCACTCCTGACTGAAGATGTCTGCAGCTCTTGGGTGCCTGTTTCCTGCAGGCTCTACTTAGGCTGCCTGGTCTCTGTATACTCGGTCCACTCTGTGTTAGACTCCACACATAGCGTGGTCGTTATGCCACCCAGACACAAGGTCACACTCTGTTAAGTAGCTTCTCTCATGGTGGGAAAGTCAGGCCCTCAGCTGCTGTTCTGGTCAAGGACTTCTGGGACTTTCCTAATAATTGGATTTTATTTGCTGACATTAAGTGGCATGTGGGCTGACAGGCCGGCTTCTAACTTGATAAATGGGATCAGAATGGCATTGTGAGTCCTTTAAAAGCTTTATAAAGGATAGCTATGCCTGTCACGATGCCCAGTATCTAACCCTGTGCCAACCTCTGCAGGCCTCCAGTGTCGTCTATTACCTCCTCTCTCAATGACCTCAATGTGGAGAGCATCCACATCTACCAGACATCTTCTGAGACTCTCTTACTCCATCCCCTACAAGCCTGGTTAGGGCTGGTGCTGATGTTGCCACAGTAAGGCTGTGGGCCATTTGCATATTGGATCATAAAGGGTCTGCTTGGTGAAACAATTCAGGAAATTGTTTGGGTTCCTATCTATGAGGCATCTCAGAGAGGCATGATCCCTGAGGCTGATGTTTAACGAGGCCAGAAGTTCTGTTTTGGAAATGATAGCCACACATCTGTGAATGCAATGATGGCCGAAATAGTGCCTAATGGTGGCTTAACCAGCCAGATCCAAAGAGGAGGTGTTCACCCTGGAGTCTGGGATGGGTGCGGAAAGCTTCAGGGGACAGGCTAGGATCACCAGGAGCCCTACAATATCAGGAAGCCTGCAGGGATGAAAGGAGACAGAGTCACTCATGGGAGTTGGAACCACTGCCTAAGAAATCACACCTGCCTGTGCTGCTGTTCCTCACTACCTGTCTCCCTATAGCTGCACTCCTTGGTTAAGGCTTGTGAAAGGCCATCAAAGATCAGGAAAGGGACATCAAGAAATAGAGCCAAGGAGAGGGAACACTGAACCAAAGTCACGCCATAAGCAAAGATGGGTTGTGCATGTGACTGTCAATGGCTGCGCCATCAGAGGCTTTGTCTATTTCCTTGAATTTATGGAGTACCTACTAAAGTTAAGGCCATGGAGATATCATTGAGCATAAAACATTCACTATGGCCTGGGTACCAAGTCAGAAGGCAACTTGAGAAAAACCTTGACCTTTTAAATGTTTGCCATGGGCTCAGGGGAAGGCAGGCATCAGTTGCAAGTAAGAACCAGGTGTTCACAGATATAGTGTCGGGCATCCATTAGCCTAATCATCTACCCATCCATCTGCTCACCAAGTCATTCATCACCTATATATTCACCCAATCTAATACACACTCCTTTATCTACCTACAGTTCTGTCCATCCATCCAACTACGTAACATACACACTCATCCATTCATATATCTGCTTGCTTATCTTTCATTATCCAAGCATCATCAACTGTCACCCTCCGATCCATCATTTATTATTCATCCATCATCTATATCTATCCAACCATGTATCCTCCAATCATCTTCCATCCCATTATTTGTCCATTCGTTCACCTGCCTGTCTGCTCATCCATTATTCATTCATTGATCCATCTGTTCATCTATCTACCCATGTTTTCCTCAACCATCCATCATCCACCATCCATCCGTCCATATATCCATGTCTGCTTCACCATCCATCCATCCATCCATCCATTCATCCATCCATCATCCATCATCCATCTAACATCCATGGACCATCCCACCATCTACCCAGCCATCCACCTGTCTGCTCATCCATCATGTCTCCATCTACCCAACTGTCTACACTACTTCTACCTATGTCCAGCTGTCTACTCACTCACCTGTCACCCACTCACCACCTGTCCATCTGTGCATCTGACACTGTCTCCCTCACTGAACCACTTATTCTCGTTGATCTGTACCTGCCAACCCCCTTCCAGGGCTTACTAGATTAGAAATCCCTAGCTTCTGTGAACAGCTGAGGCCAATGCCTCATCTAAACTTAGAAACATAGTCCATGGTGTGTTCCTTGCCAGTTGTCCCGAGTCCATAATCTGCCAGGCCTTCCTACCTTAGAGATGGTAAACAGAGGCCACAGGTGGAGGATGCAGGCTTGAGACCAGCTGAGCTGTTGTATTTGCCTTCTTTTTCCTGTTTGGGTGTTGACTATTCCTGGACACAGGCTGTGCTGGACTTACTGCACACCACAAACAAGAGTTTTCTTACCTCACTTTGCAGATGGAAATCCCGAGGTCTGGAGGGTCTGGGTTCCCCGTGTCATTTTATTTTACCAGGCTCCCGCTGTGAAGATGGGCAGCCTCTACGCCTTGTAAATCATTCTGCACTCTGCTCATTTCCTATTGAAAGTCCATGTCTCCGTAGATGGAGCCACACTCAGCCTAAGGGATGGAGATAGGCCATGGGCCTCAGGATGGGCCTAAGGCTTTTGGTGAGGACAAGACTAGGCCTCAGCTACTTACTCACCTGTGGCTGAGCTCATATTCTTGTCAAGTAGCTCATCTCCCTGGGCCACATTACAGAAACTTTCAGAATTGACATTCTGCCCTGGCATCACCCCCCATCCCCACGCACAGAGGTGTTTACCCATGGCGGGCATCAGCGGTGCCTTTGAGGAGGCTCTTGCCATTCAACCACCCCAGAGTCACCACATGGTACAGAGGTCACCATGGATCTCTACCTCACTGGTCTGGCTCTCCCGTCACCTGTCTGCTGAGCACAAGGGGGGGATTCTCATATGTTTTGATTCCCTCCATTGTCTTCCTCAGTATTTATCGAGCACTTTCTGTTCGTCAGGTCCCAGCATGAGCACTGAGACCCTCAAGGGTTCCGTGATGTGAGAAATGCGGATCCCAGCACAGCCATGTGCTTAGGATGCCGATGGTAATGAGACCTTTGCCCTGGTGACTTCAAGGTCCAGGTATCCATCCTGGCTCCATATCCCATTAGGTTTGGGCAAGGTGAGGCTGCCTCTCCCTGGGTAGATGATGGAGCAGAGAGGGTGGTCTAAGCTTCCAGGAACCTCCACCATTACCCTTGAACCAGGGCCAACAGCCAGCTTGGCTCAGACTGTTGGTCCCTTCCACTCTTTGCCTGCCTGTGTGGCAGGCCTGTCAGCCACACAGAGGCTGGATGTGCCTAGGAAGGATCCAGCTCCACTAGTGATGCCACGGCAGGTACCAGACCACAGGCCACCGGTCACAGTGCTCTTGGCCTTACTTGAAGTTAAGGTCAAAGAGTTTCTCTCACTTTGGAGAGACCGAGAGACCAGGCCAGTGGAGAGCAGGAACTCCAAACCCCAGGGCTGCAGACCAGCATGACTTTCACATGGCCGTCTGGCTCTGTTCTCACCTGGGCCCACACAGGGAGAAGAAAGGATCCTATAGGAATGGATGGGTTTTGACCCAAAGGAAGGGACGTGCTGAATGTCCCCAGGACAGACCCAAGGGATGGCGACGCAGTGAGCAGAAAGTTCACAGAAGCAGCACTTGTTCTTACTGCCCTCCATCGGGGTTGGAAACAGCTTCCAGCACACTGTGGGTCATAGGCAGAGGAGATGCCGTTACTTCTTGCTGTACCACCCTCTAGCCCTCTGCTTTCTGCACCTTCACCTCTGGCTACTCACCTGCTACCCTGGAGGAAGCTGTTCCTGGACTTCAGCCAGTCTCCTCTTTCTCGTCCTGGGTCACTGGCCTATTGTGGCAATGGCAATCCAGTCCTAGATTGTTAGCCGGTGGTTTAAGTGTTGTGGGTGCTCATGGGAAACAGGTAGATGAGAGAGACCCGGTTTCCCTCTCCTGGAAACCTTGGCTCCCCCATCCCTTCCTAAGGAACAGCAGGAATCTGGGTAGCAGGGCCAGCCTCAGTAGCACTCCTTGCCTTGTCTCTGTGTGTCCACCTGCTGTCTGAAATGATGGCTCAGCAGGACCCCTTTAGCCTGGCCATGGTCCCTCCATCCCACAGATGAGAGGTGACCAGCCTCACCCATCCCCAAAAGGTTGATTCAGCTGCACAGTTCACCCACTCCTGCCTTAGAGAGTTTGAACCTTTGCATCTTTTGGTTAGTTTACAGAAATCTTTAGACAGTCCACTCTTCCTTCCTTGGGCCCAGCCAGAGTCTTCCTGAGAGGTTTTCTCAAACATCTCCCTGTGGTGGAACTCAGTTGTCCACACCCTGACCAGTTTGGCTGCTTGTTACCCTTGCGTTGAGGACCTGCTGGTGACGGGGCAGATTCAGCCACATCCCAGGAGTAGCCACAGTTGTGCTGAAAAGAAGAGCTTGGCAGTTTTTGGATGAGAAAGGGACCAGGGGGACTGGCAGGAGTCCTCACATGGCAGCGAGGGACAAAACCTATCAATAGGATAAACCATAGGTTCTGCTGGGGACTAGAGGCTTGGCTTACTGAAGCAGGGTTCCTTGATCGGATTTGAAAGGAGCATCATCAGCTCAGGATCCCCAGACCAAGTTCTCGGCACATAGCAGGTTTATTTGTCCCAGATGGACAGAGATCGGGGAATAAGAGTCAAAGACAGGACACAGAGGGCAAGGGAGAAGGGGAAGAGAGCAAGAGGAAGAGGTGTTTGTCCTGGAGTTGGGAGGGAACGACAAACGGCTGCCTCTGGATAGAGAGGAGACAGACATGACCCATAGTAAAATAGAGGTTTATAAAGGTGCAAGGGGGAAACTTCATGTTAGAATTGGGATGTTTGAGTTTTAATGGGGCACGTTAATTAGGTGAGCCTAAGGGAGTTTCTGATTGTTGGACTTCAATACTGTGATAGCTGAACCTTGGTAGTCAGCCTCAGGAGGGGAAAGTGGCCAAATAAGGGACTAGACTTTGGTGACAAGATTTAGGAAAGGAATGGAATGGTTTTTAGCAAGGCAGAAGGAATGGGGAGAAGGGCAAGGCCTGCCAGAGCCATGCTTGCAATGCTCAAGCTGGCCAGAGTTCCTTCAGGTTTCCCCAGGTTTGTTCTGCAGGAGACAGCAAACATTCACAAGTCAAGTAATGCTGTCGTTGGGTTTGCTGTAAATGTTCCAGGGGAAGTGGGGAGTGTGGCAGAAAGGGGGAGCTGGGAGTGTTGGTAGCAGAGAGACCTCCTTCCTGCTGTGTTCCTGGGTGTGACGAGGTCAGTGTAGAAAAAAAAAACTTCCCCAAAGGCTCTGGGGAAGGGGCTGCTCTTGCCAAGAGACCCCAAGGACACTCAGGAGTCCCTTGCCAGGGTCCCACAATGCCCTGATAAACAAAGCTGTGGACTTGTCCTAGCTCTCTCCCAGTGCTGCTTACTCTCCGGATCTCTGTGCCATGTGACGCCCAGGTTCTAAACACAAAGGCTTCTTTCTGCTGCAGAGGATGCCTAGGTACCCGAGAGGTGAGTCACCCAGTGATGCTCGATAAGTGCCTGCATCAGCACCAGCACAGCACAGCACAGCACAGCACAGCACAGCACAGCACAGCACAGCACCAACCAGTGCACCCGGGGAGGAGTCATAGCAGGAAGAAGAGAACCAGGGAAGAAGCGGGAGCTGGAGGATGGCGAGGAGAGAGATGGAGGAATTTAGATGGTAGAGATGGATGAGAGAGAAAGAAGAGAGGAGAGGAGAGAGGAATGAGCGTGAACAAGAAAGGAGAGATGCGGACTAGAGCCACCCTCTACTCCTTCGCTCTGCTCTCATCCCCTCCCTGCCCATTCTTTTGAAGCCTTCCTTGTCTGTCTCCTCTCTGAGATCTGGTTCAGCCTTAATCTCCCAATTTATTCAACACCAGAGCCAGGGCTCCAGGGCCTCCTGCCAGGCCCCAGGTTGCGAAGACGCATCCACCCTGCCATGCAGTGTGTTATAGGAGGAGCTGGGTGGAGTGAGACACCTGCAGGCCAGCCCTGGTAGACAGGGGACCAGGGAGGAGCATGGTCACTGTGTTGTCATGGATACTAGAGTCTGGATTAATTGTCTGCACCCCAGGTAGAGGCCAGAGGTAATTACTCCCTCAGCAGTACGCTGGGAACTACACAGTGTGTAGATACTATGGATACCATGAGCGCCTCTGCACCCTCACTCCTCACAGACAAGAGCACTTTGCTGCTCTGGCTGGATCTCACACAATGCCCCCTGCCCTGAGGCCCTGATGCCAATCCGGGTGAGAGGCAAGACTTGGGGAGGCAACCTGATAATGGAGGGTCAAAACAAGACTGGCACCAGACAGCATTCTACCTTTAGAAACACTGAGCTCTAGAAGCACTGAGCCCTGACCTCAGTCACGTAATGAACCTTGATCCTGGCCACAGAATCTACAATCACCTGGAATATGGGCCTGTGGGGAATTATCTTCATTGCCTTAAGTGAGGGGGTGAAAGACCCACCCACAGTGAGTGTCAGGAAGGGGAGGGGGGGAGATCCACTCACGATGAGTGTCAGTATTCCGTGCCTGGGATCTCAGACTGTAAGCAAGGAAGGGTACCTGGGCAGCAGGACGTATTCATCACTCTCTTCTGTGGACATAACATCACCAGCTGTTTCAAACTTCTGACCACGTGACTTCCCTACCATGATGAGCTGTGTACCATGAACTCTGAGTGAGAACAATCCCTATCCCAGGGAATTTTATCACAACATTAGAAAAAATAACCTAAGATACACACCGAGTCCTTATTCTGGTCACACACTGAGCACTGCCACTGGTCATAGGCTGAAGCCTCATTTTGTTCCCATATTAAGACCTGATCCTGGTCTATGGCCAAGCCCTGGTTTAGTATATACAGAACTTGGATCCTTACGTTCTGCAAATCATACAAGACATGAGACCAGGGATCTGGAAGCCCCCTAGAGAAGCCCGAAGATGTTCCTCTGCCTCTCCCCCACAGGTGACTCACTGCTGTCCTTGGCCACACTCCTTTACTCGCACCCACCAGAGCTTCACACTAAGATGCCAGGTCCCCCTGGTGACAGTGTCCTGGGGGTGGTCGGTGACTGTGGGGATGACTCACTGCTGGGGTGGAGAGTTTGAATGCCATAGCTGGGCTCCCCCACACTCAGACCTTGGGCCTTCCTCTGGGTCTACAGTGCACCCAGAGATCTGAGCCAAGGTTCTCTCCACTCTGGGCTCTGTTGTCAGCAACCAACCATGAGATGTCGAGTTTTGACTTCACCAGGTAGAAGTGAGCTGCTTCAGGGATCAGGGGGTAGTCCTGAGGCATGGTGAAGGGGGACAGGACTCATGGTGGTCCTGGGAGTTAACTTCAGAGAGCTTTGCTGGAGGTGACCCTTCAGGGGCTCTGTGCTTCACTGGACACGGTCCCCACCTACCTGAGCCCAGAAGCTGCGATGGCATCTATAGAGGCGAGTTGGAGACCTTTGAAGAAGGCCATGGGAGTTAGGGGAAGAAAAGGGCAGGAGACCTTGGAGGCAAAGGGCAAGTTTCCTGAGGAGGGTAGTGCCATGGTCAGATGGGACAGGGACAAAATCCAAGAGAGCTGGGGACCTCTGGGGCTTCCTCTGCACGGTCACGCTTGTAGAATTAATTGGTCTTGATCGGCAGTCTTGATCTTGGGTGGTTTCTGGGGACAAGGGAGATGAGGAGGAAGAGCCCACACTTACCCAGGACTACTGCAATTCTGGCCAGTGAGTTCCAGACTTCTCACACTTCCACTGTCTCCAGACAGGGTGATGGGGTCTCCCCACATTGAGGGTAAATGGGCCCTGGGCTATGCAGAGTGGAGCCAGGCAGTGGGGCCAGTTGTGGGAGGAAGGCTACGCTGGCAGATCCACCCATGGAATACCTAGCAAGCTCCATGGATTCCACTGTCTTCCATGCCTTCAGATGAGAACTCCATGGTAGCAGGGAATGGAGGGGGCCCTGCTCTCGCTTTTATTCAGGTTTCTGTGAAGCATTGTCTCTAGGGCCCCCAGGAGAGAGAGAGGAGCTGTCTTCAGACAGCCCAGAAATGACTGTTGGCATGGTCTCTGTCACCTGGTCCTTGTTCACTGATCAGAAAGCAGCCAGGGCCCTGACTTTCTCCAGATACAGGATATGGGGAGAGGCAGACAGGACCTAGTTCCTCCTAGGTTGGCCAGAGCTGATGCTCTGTTCAAGGTGCTGAAAAAGGCTCTTGGGTGAGTTCTGGAAAGAGGTAGGCATTGGTGCGGGGGAGGGGGGTGGGGGGGGATCTGAAGGAGTGTCTAAGCCCAGCTTTGAGGCTGATGTGCTAGTCTATGCCTTTCAAAGAGGCTGCACAGGACAATCTGCCTCCTCCCTCCGCTCCTCTCCCCTTAGCCTCAAG